TTATTTATAAATGTTTTATATATATATATATATATGTTTGTAATTTTTTATATATTGTTATATATTTATATTTATTATTTAATTTAACTTTTTAATTTTAAAATGTATTATATGTACTATATATGTGTGTGTGTGTGTGTGTGTGTGTTTTTGCATTATATGCATAAATATGCTTGTATGCTATTTTCCAGATAACAAAATTGATGTGCACATTTTAAAACTGATTTAAAAAGTTTGTCATAAAAAAAAATATTTTGTTGTCCACAGAATTCTCCAGAAGTCACACAGGTTTGGAATGAGGACAGAATTTTCGCTGGGAGTCTTTCTGCAGGAATACTGAACATAAACAGCTCCAAATATTACAATAATACAATTTACAAAGGTCACAGTCCAGGATCGGTTCACTGTTACTATCATCTACATCACTGAACGTGAAATTCTGTGTGAATTAACGAGCCACTCAACCAGTCGCGTGAGTTTAGAGCGGGACTATCAGTTTAATTCTATTTCTTTTCTTTCTCTCTGTTAGCCTGTCTTTTCCTCTCTGTCTCTTACATTGACGGGCTTTATAAATACTTTTCTCCTGGATGCACTCAGGCTCTGTTGTCATGGTAACTGTGTTGAGAGCACCCGCCAATCATCCTCTCACTCCGCAGGCCACGCCCCCTCATCCAGGCCTGTTTCTCTTCATTACAGCAGCAAACCATCGCTTCAGCCCTAATTGGTTCGTTGGGTGTTTTGACCACAAATGCAAATGAGCCACATCCTTAAGGTCACACCAGCAGGGCATGATGGGATATACACAGAGAACTATATGTGACGCGACACTGTATAATTGCTTTGTGAGGTTAAGAGGGCAACTGCAAATGTACGAGGTGATTTTTAACAGAGCGACATGCAAATATTGCACGATGAGAGAGAAAATAGAGTGTGATAATCATGTCAGCATCAGGATAAACAATTACCCATCAGGCAGACTGATTTAATTCAGTGTTTACACCGCTGCAAATTTAGTTACACATCATCAGATTATCACACCGTGTGCTGAAATCACAACAGCAGCAGCGGAGGACACGCATAATCTTCCTCAAATCACTTATATTCAGATATTACTAACACGCCGCTTATAATTAATACAAAAACCCTGTTATTTAGATTAAAATATCACACTTCAACAAATACAGTATTCATACTCATGAAGTAATTGTGTTGGTCTTACGAAATAAAACTGATCGTAACAAATCGTAAGCTTCAGACCAGTGTTATTTTAGTATCACTGATATACTATTATAGTTTCTATTCATATTTTTGGAATTATTCATTTTGATTCTTATATTTTTCATTTCCTTTACATTTGAGTTAAATTAGGTAATAGATTTGTGGATGTTTTTGTCTTTTTCATTAACTGTTAAAATATATATATATTATGTTAATTGTTATTTAAGTTTTAGCTTTAGTTATTTTAGTACTGTATTAGCTTACTAAATTTGTGGGTGCTATAGTCATTATTAACTAAACAAAAATGAGAAATGTTACCTCGGTAACTATCTGAAATACATTTATTTTTATATTTTTTAATGTTTCAAATATTTTAAGTTAAATATTTCTATTTTAAATAAATTCTGTTTTATTTCAAGTAAAAAAATTTATGATAAAAACTATATTATTAGTATCATATTATTTCGTTAAACATTACAATGGTAACTTTTTTATTTGTTTAATATTTTTTATTTAGTAATAATAATAATAAAAATTATTATTGTTGTTGTTATAAACATAATTCTTATATTTATATAACAATATATTTAATACAAAAATAACTTGTTAGTTAATAATAATAATATTAATTGTTTGGTTTATTATTATTATTATTATTAATAATAATAACAACTACTACAGTTTATAAATAATAATAATCTTATTATTATTATTATAGTCAAGTTGAAACAGACCAAAAAATGCTGGATATGATGTGACTCGTTGCTAGTTAAGCATCTCTAACTGTTGCTCAGAGTCGGAGTCAAAAACATGTATTAAAGCACTGGTGTGTAACTGTTGGTGCTACAGATGTGAGCGTGTTTCCTCCACATCCCTCGTGTCAATCAGTACAGCCCACAGGCCTCATGTGATCGACAGCTGCTGTAACACTGAAGGTCAGATCCGGCCTTCTGCAGGACGACAGACGGGAGACGCCAGAGACGTCAGTTTGTGTCAGTCCCACTGCTTATAACACCAGCAGCTCAATCCATCCTCATGGATGTGATGGCTTTGGTCCGAACCCTCGCTGTCTGTCTGAGGTGGAAAAGCCAGTTATGTCTGGTTCACTATCCTTGTTGGGACTCTCCATAGGCGTAATGGTTTGGATACACCAACGTTACACCTAAACCTACCCCTCACAGAAAACTACTGGCATTTTTACAGACAACTCAAGTCCCTATGAGTTGGTGTGTATTCAGGTTTAAGTCCCCACCAGTATAGAAAAACATGTACACACACACAATCCTAAACATACACTGAATTTACTACATGAATTAATGCAGCAATGTGATACTTAGAACCATTACTTAAGATTATTTTCAATAGTTCAGAGATGTCCAAAATCTCCCTACCATTTTTTTAGATAATTAATATTCTTAATTATATTCTTATATCACATAACACAACACAACACAACACAACACAACACAACACAACACAACACAACATAATATATATATATATATATATATATATTCCATGGTCTGTCTGAATACTCGATTCTGATTGGCTGGCAGGTATGCATTAAAACCGTTGATTATCCCTTACATATCAAATGAAAAAAATATATATTGTATCATAATATACAGGTATTACATTTATATTAAATATCAATTTTTTTTTTTTGGAGATAAATATTATACTTATTTTATAATATTCTTATATCTAATATCATATTTTATTGAAAAATGTATATATATATATATATATATAGCATGTTAATTAAAATATATATAAAATGAGAAATATATTAAATGATATATTTAATGCTTAATTTATATTAATCATTATATATTATATTTATACTTTAATTACACATGGTTATAATTACATATAATATTTATATTTATACTATACATTATATTTTTTTATATTATACTTTAATATTAATCATTATATATTATACTATGTTCGAAGGCTGTAAATCAATGAAAATCTATCATTTAATCAAATTACATGATGTGCTCATTAATAGATCAAATTACATTACAAATAAAAGCACATGTCAATATTTTCTGGTAAAATCCATAAATGTAAAATATTGTGGCAGATGAGTGATTGAATAGACGTAGACTGTATATCATCTAGATTAGTCAATACTATCATTTAATCAAATTACATGATGTGCTCATTAATAGATCAAATTACATCAATATTTTCTGGTAAAATCCATAAATGTAAAATATTGTGGCAGATGAGTGATTGAATAGACGTAGACTGTATATCATCTAGATTAGTCAAATTATAGTTTGTTTTATTTCATATCAATGAACAAAAGTTCATCATTGGCCTACAGTCCACAACAATGCAAATGTAATTAACATTCATGAGCAAAGCTAATAAGTTTTATATTGTCTCCTGGCACTTTTTAAATGATTCATGAGAAAGTGAAGCGGACACATCATGCCACGAGTCATTGAAAAGTAATAATTATCTCCCATGTCCTCACTAATTATCATGGTTTGGTTGCTACGCAAGACAATCAGCAGAACTGCTGTGGAATCTATTTTTTGTCTCACCAACATCCATCTTGACATCCAAATATCCCTAACCGGCCATAAGCCTCTTCACGATAACAGCTCTCACTATTATAAGCAAATCTGTGAGAGCGGCGCTCATTAATATTCATGAAACCAATATGAATATTCATTTGGGTGAGCTTTCACATCATCAAAGCCAACAAGGGTCTCTTGTGTCCACCCACCTGCCACATCTGATTCACAGATTATTAAAAAATATCTTTCTTATCAACAGACCGTATAAAACTGAGACGGATCACCAGCAGCTGCAATGAATGGGAGAAATTGGAAGTCCCGCCTTCCAAATACAACAGCCAATCAGCCTGATGCTTACTTTTAAGCTTGCATTCAGCCTTTGCTCTACTCTGCACTTGTGCATTAGCTGTTCAACTTGAAATACACAGTTCTTAGCACCATTTAAGGGTTATAAACAGTGTTTGACACCATTCATGTCAGATCTTTAAGAGAATTTGGCAAGAAGTTTCAGTATTTCCATTGCAATTTAGGCAATTACATGGAATTTTACCGTATATGGCAGCATTTTCCCATAAAAAACCATTCTAAAGAAATGCTTAATATGGCAGAATGTATTAAAACCAAATTCAGTATTCATCTTATTAATAAAACATATTATATACAAGCAAGCAGATGAACACAGAATATGAACGCAATGTGCAAAGTGTCACGTTAAATTTTTCCCATAGAAAACAATTATAAATAATGTACTTAATACAATTTAATACAGTTTAGCACATTGCGTTCATATTCCGGGTTCCTCATCTTTTATTTATATAATATGCATCATCAATAAGGTGTATATTCTGATTTTGATCTTTTAAAATCACTGTATGAGAATATTAAGCATACCCTCCCCGCCCCCCGGATTCTCGATTTTATGATTTAATACAAATTAATAAAAAATGTGTCTAATTAAATTAATTAATATTTATAATAACTTTTTTATAACTTTATTTATTAGAGTTTTTCTTGAATACAGTATATGCAAACCTTACATATATTTAGAATAACTTAAATAAAATTAATTTAAAAATTGAATCAATCTTTTAAAATGTAAAACAATTCATTTACAACAACACATCACATTTATTTTTATTTTTTATTTTTTATTGTGTGCTTTATGATTTAATACAAATTTATCAAAAATTATGTCTAATGAAATGAATTAATACAACTTTTTTATATATATAAACACAATTAATAAAACAATTTAATCAATCTTTAAAAATGTAATCAAATGAAAATATAACAATTCATATACAACAAAACTTTGCATTTTTATTTTTTTATGTTTTTTTCTGGGTTCTGCATTTTATGATTGAATACAAATTAATCAAAAATTGTGCCAAAGGAAATTCATTAATAACACTTATATTAATACAATTAATAAAACAATTTAAATCAAATTAATCAAATATAACAATTAAATTACAACAAAACGTTGCATTTTTATTTTGAGTCAAATAAGGCACTGCACAACAGAACTGTATAATTCAAAACATGGATGAAAAATATCTTGGTTGCATGATATTCCTTTAAAATAAGTACATAAGTACATTTTAGTATACAATAGTAATGACCTTCTATCATAATTTCTTCAAGTTAAACCAAACTTTTATTTTGGTTGGATCTCTGAGTTTCAGTGTGTTTTTCTCAAATGAAGCGGTGGATCTCGATATGATATCGTTTATCACCCTACTGAATACTAGGAGTTAGATTAGTTGTGCTTGAAAGCAGTAAATCCTACCTTCTTCTCCAGCGGAGCTGTTCTTCCTGACGGCCTCGGCGCTGCTCAGATCCTGCTCTAGGCTGCTGGGGACCGCCGTGATGAGGCTTGACGTCTGAGACTCGCCTGCAGACGTCGAGATGGTCGTCCCAGTGTCTCCAGTGCCGGACGTCAGGACGGAGGGAGTCGTCGTGCTCTGGGCGACGAGCGCCATCATCTCTGTTGTGCTCTGGTTGAGTCTCTTGGGTTTGTTTCTGCGTCTGTACTGGATTTCTCCACGAGCCTCGTGTCCGTGTGCGGCGGTGGAGAAGGAACCAGTGCTCGTCGTCAGCGGCGTTTGGGACGACGGGTACGTGTCGCCCCACGAGCTGCCCTCCGTCTCTGGGACTCGACTCTCTCCGGAGTAGTTCTGGGTCGAGACGGAGACTTTGGGTTCAGGGGATTCGGTTTTCTGCTCGGGTATTTCGGTCACTACGACCCAATCAGCTGTCGTCGCCGGACCGTCCTGTGCAGGTCGACTGGTCTGAATGTCGCCCGGTCCGTTTCTGGTGGCGTTTGGTACGACTGAACTCGTGGACGGAAAGGAGGTGATTAATTTATCAGTGACGGCTGAAGGACCAGACAGCCATGAGGGGCTCCACCACGACCTCAACCCTACAGACACAAACACAAGCCAGTGCTGTTACTGATAACGAAAAATAAAGTTCAATAGAAGTAAACTAATAAAACTAATAAAAAACAAAAACACATAACAAAATGGCTAAAGTAAGTCAGTTTGAAATATTAATAAATCATAGCCTATGAATAATACTAAAATAAGACTCTAATAACACTAAAATAAGATTCCATTGCCATCAGACATTTTTTCATCGGTTTTGCATGTGTATTCCAGCCAGTGTTGTTATTGTTAACTTACAATAAAGCTATTAAAAATCGTTTTCATTAACTGAAACAAGTTTAAGTTGAAGTACAAAAATCACTCAAACTAAAATTGAAATAAAAAATTTAAAATTTAAATAGATTTTTTTTTTTAGAAATAATAAAAATGACAAAAGCACATAATAAAATGACTAAAACTTAAATTAAAATGAACTGAAACAAGTTTAAGTTGAAGTACAAAAATGACAAACTGAAATTGAAATAAAAAATAAAAAAGTTAAATAGAATTTTTTTTAAATAATAAAAATGACAAAAGCACATAATAAAATTACTGAAACTTAAATTAAAATTCAAATGAACTGAAACAAGTTGAAGTTGAAGTACAAAATTGACTAAAACTAAAATTGAAATAAATAAATAAAAAAGTTAAATAGAAATATTAAAAAATAAAAAATAAAAATGACAAAAGCACATAATAAAATGACTAAAACTAAATTAAAACTTAAAACATAAAAATATAAACATATTAAAATTTTTATAAATATGAACAAAATAATAAATAATTAATAAACAGCATAGCCTATAAGTAAAACTAAAATAACACTTATTCCATGTAATGTATTCCAGACAGTATTGATAAGCTATTAAAAAGTTTTCATTAACTGAAATGAAGTATGAATTAACTGAAATAAAATGTGAATATTCAACAAGAAATGTTGCCTTGGCAACTAACTGAAATAAAATAAGTTTAAAAACTACAAACATAACAAAAAGACTAAAACGTCAAAGTAAATTAAATATAAATAAAAAAAATAATTCAGAAATATTAATAAATACTATAATAGTAGCTAATAAATAATACTAAAATAACTAAAATTATGAATTACATTTTAGTATTACTATAGGCTATATTATTATAGTATTTACTTACTATTTCTGAATTACATTTTTATTTATATTTAAATTATATTTACATTTTTATTTATTTATATTTTCTATGTAAGTTTTAGTCTTTTTGTTATGTGCTTTTGTCATTTTTAGAAATTTTTTTTTTACATTTCTATGTAACTATATATTTTTATTCAAATTCATTTTTGTCTTTTTCGTCTGTTTGCCTTTAGCAAATAAGCAGCACTATCAAAGTAGAGACTAAAAACACGCTTCCAGTAATGAGACTGATTTAGTCAAAGACTCATTTCCAAATGAGAGTGATGATTATTAATTTGTCTGTGGGGCTTTATTCAATCAGCAGTTATGCTCTTGTGCATTTAGACGTTGCTCTTTTCAGATTCATTCCTCCGACCTGTTTTTTTGTCTCTAGAGAGCGGCGAACCGTCTGCCAGATTCTCATTAAATATTCACTTGACTCCAGTTTTTATCTACTCGTCTAAGACTTCAGGCTGTTTGCCTTTTGTCAAGATTCACTAATATCATTACTATTGCTCATTTTTAGGATTAGTGATCTGAACCAAACGTCAGCGAGTAACTCCATCCGTTCATGTCTTGAATGAATGATTCCTCAAATCATGCGTCTCGAGGTGATCAGATGCACCATTTTCATACCATCTTAAAATATGAACAGGTTTTAAAACTAAAGCTAGGATTTTAGACAGATTTGAAACTGATTTTAAAAAACTAAGCTAAAATTTAAAAAAATTATTAGTTGAAATTTCATTTTTGAAACTAAGATTTAAGGGAAAACTGAAAATATATATTTATAAAAATAAAAGCAATTTTTCAATTATTTTGATTTCAGTTTTAATTTATTGAAGCTAAGATAATAAAAAAACGTAAACTTAAAAAACTTAAATGAAAATTAGAAATGTTGCCTTGGCAACTAACTGAAACAAAATGAGTTTAAGTTTCTACAATTCAAAATTACTAAAACTGAAATAAAATAAATTAAAGCTAATTAAAAAAATTATTTCAAAATTAATAAAATATAACACATGATTGAAACTTAAACTAAAATTAGAACGAAAACTGAAAATATAAAAATAAAAGCTATTTCTCCATAATTTTTTTTAGGTTTTATTAACTTAAATGAAAATCTAAAATCTTTTAACTTAAATTAAAATCTTGCCTTCACAACTAACTAAAATAAATAAATAATCAATTTAAGTTATTAAAAGCTATTTTATAATTCATAATGATAATAAATACTGTAATAGCATATAAATAATACTAAAATAATACTTAAACACGCAGGTGACATCTCAACATTCACAGCATTTTTGTGCTGCTGACAAATTAAATCCCAAATGTTTTCACTTAATGCACTGAAATATCATTTCACAGCAGCAGAACTAACTGATGGCTGATTACATTGCAGTGATACAAAAGCAATGGATATTTTACAACAAACACGATTTTAGAAAAGAAAGTAGCTCTGTTCCAAAACCTAGTGAGACGCCTTGCTGTCTAGTATGCAGTTACATACTAAAAACATACTTAACACGAGCATGCACACACTTTCTGCCACTTAATAAAACAGTAAAAAGGAAATTGCGACTCACAATGGGGAATTTATTTCTTTGCAATTTTGAGCAAAAAACTCAGACATTGTGAAATAAACTTGTGAAAAAATGTCAGAATTGTGAAATAAAAAGTCACAATTACCTTATTTATTTATTTTTTATTCCATGGCAGAAATAGATTGTTTATCTTAATTAATGAGATATAAAAATAAAATAAAGAAATTAAAAAAGGTAATTGTGACTTATTTCTCAATTCCCTCACAATTCTGAGTTTATATCCTATAATTTAGGTGTTTTTCTCTCAAAATTGCAAAGACAAAAGTCCAAACTGTGAGATAAATCAATAAATCATTGCAATTCTGAGTTTCTAAAATATGTTTTCTTCCGTCGTGGAAAAAAAACAAAAAAAACAAAAGAAGAGAATTGTTTGAAATTTACATTTCGCAATTCTGAGTTTATATCTCACAATACTGACTTTCTCCCTCCTCGACATTGCAAGGAAAAAAGTCCAAATTTTATTCAGTTATGAACCGCGTGCTGACATGTTTCGCAATGCAACAATGCACAAAATCAATCTTGCATCGCTACAAGCTAATAATAACCGATTGCTAGTACGGCTGCAGGCCAAACGCTCGCGGCTGCATTGCTGTACTTGTTTCTGGCTCAAGGCAGCATCCTAATGGAAATGAACCCTCACAAATGAGGGGTTTGAAATGCATTACATCATAAAACAGCACAGAAATATTGGGTGAGCTAGTCTGTTTTGGTATGTCTTGTATATCAGCAGAACAAACCACACAAAGCACTGGAGCGTACAGTACAGCAAGTGTGCATGAGTGAACAGTGTGGATGCACTTTTCCAGTTTCTGGCTTCCCGTCTCAAGCTTTCAGCCCTCAGTTATGAAGTTTCCACTGCCTTCATGGAAAATGGAGTTTAATAATGTAGGCGACAGGCCTAAGTTTCCATTTGATGTTAAATATTAATGCTGCCGGGTTCAGTTTGGGCCAGACAAGGTATCTGTATTAATGAAGACAACCTTCAAACTTTACCGCTCGGGCCTCCTCGACAAACGGAGACCAAACTCCAGTTTGCTGTAAGAAAACAGTAGGGCTGGGTATCGAGTTCGATACTTTTTAGGCACCGACTGAATTGCCTCGAAACCATCGAGTATCGAAAAACGTCTCATCGTTTGGTACCAAATTTCGATACCTAAGCGTCAGTGAGCCAATAAGCCTGCAACACACGACAGATCGATCAGTGTTTGACATTCGCGAGAGCGATTCGAAAGCATATGGAGCAGTCTGCTCTCTATAGCTCTCGTGGTACTGTAATACACCGATCGGTCTGCACAGTCGGTCCGCGTCAAGTCGAACACACCTACTACTGTAGTTAACACCGGTTACACTCTCAGAGATACTCTCACACGTGAGGCTGTAGTGTGAATTCGTCCCAGCCCCCTTAGATGTAAGGCTATATTTACACTAGTACGTTTTTGTTTTAAAATGAAAACGATCCTCGTCATACTGGCGTTTCCACTGCGTTTCAAGCCGGCTTTCCATCTCTCTCCGACAAACGACAGACCCGGAAGTCATTCATTTCCAATGGAGAGTAGCGCGGGAGCTGCGTGGAGCTCCGATCATATGCTGAAGTCCGTTCATACTACACGACCGAAAGCGCGTGTTACGTGACCATTCATGCACACATGCTACATAAGACAATAAATACGATTTATATTCCGCTTTTAATCAAAACTCACTTTAAACCACCATCGAGTGTTTGTAATAACTTCTGATTGCCGTCTAATGTGTGTTTTGGCCATGTAATGTTGCTGAAATTAAATATGTTATAACCTCTGAGTCAGAGCAGCGATCATGGAAGAGAGAACACAAGCAGACAGCGCTGGAAGCTGCTAATGCTCATCAGTAAATCAGTGGAAAATAAATAGAAATCATGATTCTGTCTGAGCTATGCATTTTAAAACTAACACGCACGAGTGTAAATGCACCTATCACAGATGTGTAAACTGAAGACTATTTGAGCTTTATTAAAACTATTTGCACTGATTTATTGTGTTGGTTACATTTTGTTCCTTTGTGCAGTGGCTCAAGAGATGAGTCTGAAAAATAAAACCAAAGTTTTTTTGTTTAGATAATGTAATCTTGTTCAAATTGATTTCATAAAACTGGTATCGAAAAAAGTATCATTCAGGAACCGGTATCGAAAGTCAAGGTATCGGTATCGGTATCGATATCGAAAATTTTTGAACGATACCCAGCTCTAGAAAACAGTGAAGCTGACAGAACGTCCTGCTGACTTCCTCCCGCTGGGTTGAGCTTGATTTATCCCACTAATGCTGACAGATCATCTCTCAGCTCAATCACACTTAACACTTAAAAAAGCATGTCTAATTAAGTGCTATCATGAAACTAATACAATTTAACAACAATTTATTAAATGTGCAACAAAAATTAAGCTAAATAGAAATAATAATAAAAAAAAATAATAATAATAAAAATGACAAAAGCACAAAACAAAAGGATTGAAACAAGCTAAAATACTGAAAATATAAAACTGAAAGCAATTTTAACATTATTTTTATTTCAGTGTTAGTGATTTTATATTTTAGTAACTCTTTTCAAATTTTCATAATTTTATTTAAAAATGTTAATAAATACTATAATAGTATATAAATAATACTAAAAAACACAGATTGTTGTTTTCACTTGATGCATTTAAATATAATAAAATTTTTAAGGCCCAATGAATTCAGTTTTTTCCTAAATTCAGTTAATTCTGTTTTAATGGTAAAATAAAATTTGAGTAATCAAAAAGCATGTCTAATTAATAGAAATAATGAAACTTATACTATTTAACCACCATTTATAAAAAATGTTAACAAATATAACATTTTTAGGCCCCTATGAAATCAATTTTTTCCCGAATTATTATTATAATTTTATTTTATTTTTTTTACATTTTTCTAGATTCTGTTTTAATGGTTACATTTGAGCAATCAAAAAGCATGTCTAATTAATTGAAATCAAGAAACATACTATTTAACAACAATTTATTAAAGGTTTAACAAAAAATTTTAGGACCCCATGAAATCAGTTTTTTTGTTGTTGTTGTTGTTGTAAATTCTCCCCAAATTCCATGTTTTCTGTTTTATATTTTAATAATCAAAAAGCATGACTGATTAGTTTAGTGAGTTGAGTCAAAATTGATATATTTTTATCTAAATAATTTTACTTTGCTGCATTATTATTTTCTACAGTGTTTTAGATATATACTATGAAAGTTTTTGTTAATATTTTGAAATAGATTTTATTTTTATATTTTCTCTTTTAATTTTAATTTTAAAGTTTTAGTAATTTTATTTTGTTTATCATTTTTATTCGTTTTTTTTTTTAAAATATGCCTACATAGTTAGTTTTTTTTGTATAATATGTATAATTTTTTTTGTATTTTATGTCAGTTGTTTATTTCAACTAACAATATTTTTATTTCTATTTTTGGTTTTAGTTAACGATAATGACACTGGTGTCCAGCTCGGTTGTTTTGATGAACTTCTCACTTAAACTCTAGAAACTGTAAAATAGAGCAACTGTTCTGATTTTGTCTAACAATCTGGATGGAACATTGAAAATTACTCAGAAGTTTATTATTGATATTGAGGATTTAAAAAAAATTTATATCAGTTTATCGACCAGCCCTACTTAAAATGCATCTTCCTTTTCAGAAAATATTGTTGTGTTGCGTCCATTTCTTTCTTTCCCTCTTCTGTCATATTCACCTGATCCGGGAGTGGTTCTGCCGTCTGTCACGCTCGTGCTCGTCGCCTCAGCTTCACTTCCTGTCAAGTAGCTCCAGGGTTTCCATAACGAGCTGACGATGCTGGTGAGGGGACTCTTGGCCTGTCCTTGAGGAGCGTCTGAAGGAGCTGCAGGACTCACAGACTGACCAGACAGACCTTCATCCTCGTCCTCTTCCTCTCGGGCCGAGCCGCCAGGACTCAGATCAGGAAGCACCTGTCGGCTGTCTGGGAACGAGTCCAGCTGGCCGCTCCAGTCCAGAGACGTGTCTCCGGCACGCAGACGGACCGTCAGATACTCGGCCGAGAGCTCAGCAGGTTCAGCCGTGAGCGGCTCTTTGTCCAGATCCACCTGTCCGGTCCAGTTAGAGGGTCGAAGGTCAGGCAGGTCCGACTGGCCGGCAGTCTGTGCGTCTGGAATACAGTCAGATATGAGCTAGTTTAACATCAACACAACACATTTTACTTGCGAATATGATAAACAACTAATTTTATCAACATACACCACTGTTTAAAAGTTTAGGGTTGGTAAGATTTTTTTTTCAAAAAAATTTGATCAAAGCTGAATATTCAGCATCATTCCTCCAGTTTTCAGTGTCACATGATCTTCAGAAATCAGTATAATATGCTGATCTGCTGCTCGAGAAACATTTCTGATTATTATCAATGTTGAACACAGTTGAGCTGATTCATATTTTTGTGTAAACTGTGATGCATTTTATTTTTCAGGATTCACAGATGAATAGAAAGTTCAAAAGAACAGCATTTATTTGAAATAGAAATCATTTGTAACATTATAAATGTCTTTACTGTCACTTTTGATCAATTTAAAGCATCCTTGATTAATAAAAGTATTAAATTATTTCGAAAAATCATACTGGCCCCAAACTTTTGAACGGTAGAATGTCAGAAAGCTATTAGTTTATACTTTTGATGCAGCTATAATTCATACAAAACACTTGCTAGAAAAATTCTTAATAATTTTCAACACATTCTAACTTCTAAAAAAATCTGAATTTTAATATAAATCAAAACATTACAAAAATGTTTGCAAAGTCATTTAGAAAAAGAACTAAAAAGCAGAAAAAAACGTCTGTTTAATTTTAAAGAGAGTGTGAAAATCATCATGAAAAACTTTTTTGCATCAATTCTTTTGATGAAAACCTTGACTAATATTATAAGTGAATTTCTGGGGGGGAATCATTACTGTCACTTTTGATGAATTTAATGCATCTCTGATTAATAAAAGTATTAATTTACTTTTTTTAAATCTTACTGACTCCATGGCAGCTATAATTCACATAAAACACTTTTGCTGGAGAATATCACTGATTTCTCAATCCTTTTCAACTCACTCTAACTTCAAAAAAAAAATTTGTAACATCACACAAAATATTTAAATCAACAGAATTTAAATAAATCAATACATTAAAAAAAGTCATTTAGAAACAAAACTGAAAAGCAGCAAAAGCCGCCTGTTTAATTTTAAAGAGAGGGTAAAAATGGTCCTGAATAAAAAAATTATTAATTAAATATAACTATTTTTAATGCAAAAAGCCTTGACTAATATTATAAGTGGACGTCTGGGGGGAAAAAAAAGTTACGAGGTAAAATATGTCCCCTTTACCAATAAAACAAGAAGTATTTAATGTTTGTATTTTATTGCAATGAAAGGTGACTGAATTAAACAGGCTTTCTCTTCTGTTGACGTATTAAATTCAATGACCTCAGATTGTCTCTCCAAACACATTCCTCAGCTGCTGGAGCATGTGCAAGAAACGTCAAAGTCACGGGTTCGATTAGCAGACGCACACATGCTGATCACGCGCTGTAAATCACTTTGGATTGAAGTCTGTCAGATGAATATGTACAGATGTTCAGAATGACACACCTGCTACTGTTTTATACTGTGCAAAGTCTGCAAATATTCTTAATGCATGGAATATCCCACTACATTTAGAAATGTGAAGTATGCAAAAACAGCACTGAATAATGCAACTCAACTTTCCTTTTCCAGTGTGACAAATTTTACAATTTTTAACACCATCTTAACCATTATTTGCCTTATTTAACTTAGTATGCAAAATGTCAACAATTTTTTAGATATTCTCGAAAAATCATACTGGCCCCAAACTTTTGAACGGTAGAATGTCAGAAAGCTATTAGTTTATACTTTTGATGCAGCTATAATTCATACAAAACACTTGCTAGAAAAATTCTTAATAATTTTCAACACATTCTAACTTCTAAAAAAATCTGAATTTTAATATAAATCAAAACATTACAAAAATGTTTGCAAAGTCATTTAGAAAAAGAACTAAAAAGCAGAAAAAAACGTCTGTTTAATTTTAAAGAGAGTGTGAAAATCATCATGAAAAACTTTTTTGCATCAATTCTTTTGATGAAAACCTTGACTAATATTATAAGTGAATTTCTGGGGGGGAATCATTACTGTCACTTTTGATGAATTTAATGCATCTCTGATTAATAAAAGTATTAATTTACTTTTTTTAAATCTTACTGACTCCATGGCAGCTATAATTCACATAAAACACTTTTGCTGGAGAATATCACTGATTTCTCAATCCTTTTCAACTCACTCTAACTTCAAAAAAAAAATTTGTAACATCACACAAAATATTTAAATCAACAGAATTTAAATAAATCAATACATTAAAAAAAGTCATTTAGAAACAAAACTGAAAAGCAGCAAAAGCCGCCTGTTTAATTTTAAAGAGAGGGTAAAAATGGTCCTGAATAAAAAAATTATTAATTAAATATAACTATTTTTAATGCAAAAAGCCTTGACTAATATTATAAGTGGACGTCTGGGGGGAAAAAAAAGTTACGAGGTAAAATATGTCCCCTTTACCAATAAAACAAGAAGTATTTAATGTTTGTATTTTATTGCAATGAAAGGTGACTGAATTAAACAGGCTTTCTCTTCTGTTGACGTATTAAATTCAATGACCTCAGATTGTCTCTCCAAACACATTCCTCAGCTGCTGGAGCATGTGCAAGAAACGTCAAAGTCACGGGTTCGATTAGCAGACGCACACATGCTGATCACGCGCTGTAAATCACTTTGGATTGAAGTCTGTCAGATGAATATGTACAGATGTTCAGAATGACACACCTGCTACTGTTTTATACTGTGCAAAGTCTGCAAATATTCTTAATGCATGGAATATCCCACTACATTTAGAAATGTGAAGTATGCAAAAACAGCACTGAATAATGCAACTCAACTTTCCTTTTCCAGTGTGACAAATTTTACAATTTTTAACATCATCTTAACCATTATTTGCCTTATTTAACTTAGTATGCAAAATGTCAACAATTTTTTAGATATTCTTGGACTTCCACCATAACAGCTGAACGGCACTTGCTGAATTAAAAGTGCAACACTGAAGTCATTCAAAAATAGTATGCAGTATACTGTAGATATTGTGCAGTATGCTGAACATCTCAAATAATGATATTTACATTATAAATGTATTTACTGTCACTTCTGATCAATTTAATGCTTCCTTGCTAAATTCATGCATTAATTTCTTTTTTTTTTATCATGACACCAAACTTTTGTACAGTAGAATATGTGTCAGATGTATTTATATACGTTTTATATATAATATAATGACAGCTATAAATTAATATAAACACTTTTGTTGGAAAATACTACTGATTTCTGTTTAGTTTTCAACCCAATTTAACTTACGGGCATAAGATATTTACATTACGTAAATGATTAATAAATAAATAAACTACAATAAATACAATTATTATTATTGTTGTTGTTTTAATTATATATATATTTTTTATTGCATAGTATATTTAATAGAATAGTTTTATTATATTTACTTATTTAGTAAATAAATAATTTAAAATAAATATTTAATCATTTAATAATTTCTAAAGTGAGGGTGAAAAATGGACTGAAAAAAAAATTACAATAATAATAATAATAATAATTTAAGAGGCATCAGACTTACTTGCTTTCTGGGTTACTATCAATTCTTAAATAAATTGTAAAAAATTATTATGCTATATTAATAATATGTTAAATTATTTATTTATTTAGTACATAGTATACTTAATAGAATATTATTTAGTATATTTATTTACTTAGTAAAAAAGTATTTAATAAATCATATTAATGCACACATAATAATATTAATAATAATTATTATTATTATTGTTGTTGTTGTTATTAATATTATTGTTTATTAATAGAGCATTGCACTAACAAGTTGTAACATCACCATAGCGACATATTAAAACCAGATTTAAATATAAATCAAAACAATGTTAGCAAAGTCATTTAAATACCAAACTCTTAAAGGTACAGCAGCAAAAACAGCCTGTTTAATTCTAAAGAGAGGGTGAACAATGGACCTGGAAAATTTAATTATGACTATTTTTGATGACTAAAATTATAAGTGGACTAAAATGTTACAAGCCGGTAGAATATGGCCATGTAAAACTAGAGCTTCTGATGAATTGAGTATTTATTTTTGTTGCAACATTATGGTTCACACTATCTCTTAAGCATGATCAAATCCCTATTGCATGGGCTAGATCAAAAACAAAACAAAATAATAATGGCTTCTGTAATGCACGACTGCGTAACACGGCGATGCATACCTCGATAGCAGAAAGCATCGAACCGCGCGCTCCCGTTGTTCAGTTCTGTCGGTGAAACCGTCCGGACGCCTGGTTCTCCAGCGGGACAGTCTGAGCGCAGCGAGCTGACGGAAAACCTCACGCTCCCATCAGACAGCCAGGCCGGCTCGCAGTGGTCCAGCCCAGAGCTCCAGGCCAGATAGAGCTGACCGACGGTCGCCAGCCGGCCCCCCAGAGACGCGCAGTGAGCCGAGGCTTCGACGTGAGTCAGTCGGTCAGGAACAGCGGCGGGAAACACTTCACCTGCAGAAACACAGGACGGAAACAGCTGTAACTGCACTTCGGCTGGACAGATGGCTTGTGCATTTAGCTGAATTCATGGCACAACACTGGGGAGTTTATAATAAATGTTACAAAACAGCATCATGCATCAAACAGCATCATCAAAAGCCCATTACATTTATTTCTATTACACGTGAAAGCGTCTCACCATTATTCATCCATAAATTACAACATGATGATTTTGGTAAATGATTAAAAATGCATTTTTTAAAAAACAGTTATGAATAATTCATATGTTGTGACTAACAGCTCCAGATACATTTCTGTGATGTTACTGTAATAGTTCATTAAAAAAATATAGAAGTTTTGGTAACTTGTCAGAAAGTTAATAAAATACTAAATATGATACTTTTTATGAAACATTTTCACATTTTCATCACTACTAATAGCTTTCAGAATTACTGTCGATTTTTCTGTACTTACCTAATCAAATAAAATGTATTGTTATTATTTTACTACTTTAATTACATATTATGTATTAATATCATACATTACGCTATTTTTTAATTTAAATGTATTTAGTGCATAGTAAACATAATAGTGTATCATTTAGTTTATGTATTTATTTAATAAATAATAAATACTGAATACATTAATGTAACAAATAATAATAATATTTATTTATTTATTGAAAAATCATCTGTAAGCCTGGAAGAAATAATAATAATAATAATAATAATAATCTACTATACTTTTTATGAAAAATGCATAATTGAATACTGAAAATTTTAGACAGATTTAAGAAAAAGAATCAGCAGTACTAATTGCTTTCAGGGCTACTGCAGATTTTTCTGTAAATAAATAATCAAATAAACAAATAAATACAATTATTATTTTTATTTTACTACTTTATTATGTATTAATATTCTACAATACATTATTTTTTAATTGAAATTTATTAAGTAGCTACGTAGCATGATTAATAGTATATTATTTAATTACGTATTTATTTAGTAAATAATAAAAACGTAATATACAATTAATATAACAAATAATAATAATTATTATTATTGTTGTTGTTGTTATTTATTTAGAGAAAAATCATTGGTAACCCTGAAAGCAATAATAATAATTAAATTTTAAAATAAAATAACATAATGTTTCAAACCACAACCAAGCAGAATATTACTACTATTATTAATATAACAACTCATTATGGTTTGAAACATTTGATTGATCCCATTTTTCCATGTTTTCCGGAATCTTACCTTGCATGTCATTGGCAAAACAGTAAACGTCAAACAATTCCAAAGGGTCCCGTTTCCCATAATTCCTCACGCCTTGAGAAAACTCTGCGTGTCCATAGCAACCGAGCTCGGGTCTCTGTACGGGATACCTGCGGAGAGGAGACGGGTGTGAAATCGGACGAAACGTCTGCACTGTGGGAACTGGCTGAATCCAGATATCCGTATGTAAGTAAAGCTGTGTTGTTATGGAAACGCTAATAAATAATTTCACCGCAATATTATAACAGGATCCTTATAATAGCTGGATGTGAAGGGTGTCTGTCTGCTCACGGCTGGACTTTAATACTAGAGCAATCACAGCATATCTTTCAGTGTTGGTGAAGTTCACAAACGCCTGAAGCAGACCTTCAAGAAGAACCTCACACAATGTGCTTCATGTGTGTAGACACATTACAAATTTTGTTTTATATTAATACATAATATTTATACAACTCTTTTCAAATTAACCTTAAATTTATTTTAAATTATTAGTAATAATAATAATTATTACTATTATTATTATTGTTATATTCATTGTGTAATGTATAATATTAATGCATTAAATAATAATAATTGTATTTATTTCTTAGATTATTTATTTACATAAATCTATGAATTAATATTATGTATTTAATATTTATTATTTACTAAATAAATACATATACTAAATAATATAATATTAAGTATATCATGCACTAAATAAATATGTTAATAATTTCCAAATGCTCAAACAAACCTTCAGGAACAAGTTTAATTTGTGTAGACCCATAACAAGAACATCATTCATAAAAAATTAATATTAATATATAATATAATATCAATTCATTATTATTTCAGAATTGGTATTCTTATATTAAATGATTATTTTAATTATTACTCATTAAAATTGTATTCTGGGTTACAATCAAGTTTGCCTCAGTTTGTAAAAAAACAGTTGAATATTAAAAACAAACGAACAAACAAAAAATCTGGATCTCCATGTCTGCCATGCAATGTGAGTCTGAATATTATTTTGCGTGATCTTTATAGCCATAGTGAAAGCAACAATAGATATTTTACCGCAGATCTTGAAAATGTTAAAACTGTGAACTCACTGCGAACCAACACGTGTTTTCCACAACAGAGATATCAGTCACTCACTCACTCAAATCATCTCTTTTCCGTGTCCACTTTAATTTACTTCACACTTGCCATGTTTTTGCTGTCACATCGTATATCTACACTGGACGCGACAGAGCATCGCAAATCATTTGAACTTTGTGTCAGCACGTCATAAATAGAACAAGTCAGCAGGTTTCTGTCGTGCCGTGCTGCGCCGCATCTAGTGTAGACAGCATCACTGATTATAATGGGTTCTATTGTATTTTGTTGCGCCGTGCCGCTCGCATCCAGTGTAGACACGATGCAAGTTAATGTCGCTTTCTGATGCTGTGTTTGAATTTTCATGCCACTTTTTTCTCTCTAAGTATATCATGCACTAAATAAATATGTTAATAATTTCCAAATGCTCAAACAAACCTTCAGGAACAAGTTTAATTTGTGTAGACCCATAACAAGAACATCATTCATAAAAAATTAATATTAATATATAATATAATATCAATTCATTATTATTTCAGAATTGGTATTCTTATATTAAATGATTATTTTAATTATTACTCATTAAAATTGTATTCTGGGTTACAATCAAGTTTGCCTCAGTTTGTAAAAAAACAGTTGAATATTAAAAACAAACGAACAAACAAAAAATCTGGATCTCCATGTCTGCCATGCAATGTGAGTCTGAATATTATTTTGCGTGATCTTTATAGCCATAGTGAAAGCAACAATAGATATTTTACCGCAGATCTTGAAAATGTTAAAACTGTGAACTCACTGCGAACCAACACGTGTTTTCCACAACAGAGATATCAGTCACTCACTCACTCAAATCATCTCTTTTCCGTGTCCACTTTAATTTACTTCACACTTGCCATGTTTTTGCTGTCACATCGTATATCTACACTGGACGCGACAGAGCATCGCAAATCATTTGAACTTTGTGTCAGCACGTCATAAATAGAACAAGTCAGCAGGTTTCTGTCGTGCCGTGCTGCGCCGCATCTAGTGTAGACAGCATCACTGATTATAATGGGTTCTATTGTATTTTGTTGCGCCGTGCCGCTCGCATCCAGTGTAGACACGATGCAAGTTAATGTCGCTTTCTGATGCTGTGTTTGAATTTTCATGCCACTTTTTTCTCTCGCGGGCCGCCTATTGAGGAACCCTGCTCTAGACTAACTGTAGAAATGCATGGGATTTCACGAGCGATGCTTCTGAGCCAAATGACGGCGGTGAAGGCTGAAGCGCTAGCAACACCTGACGCTCTGGTCTTTGAGCCATCCGGCCGTGCAGCTGTTCATGCTGGAGTGAAACGCTGCCCACAGCTGCTCGGGGGTCGCGACCTCAGCCGAATTCTCCTCACATGCACGGATAGCCTCCGCGAACGCCAGCGAATAACGGGCCGCAGGAGAACCGTAGGGAAACACCACACCTGAAAACACACAGAAACATTAACATGAGAAAACAGTTTCTGTGGACAGACACAGACAAGCACTGGCCAATATTCCTTTTCTTCACCTTTCTTTAATTATCTTATACTTTTTTTCTCTGTTTAAGAAGTGGTCAGAATAGTTTAGAATTATAATATTGGCCATAATTTCAGCTATCACACAAAAAATATCAATAAAATATTAATAATATTAATGTACAATATTTATAAAAAATATTATTATAAATGTTTTTTTATATACTATTATTATTAATAATTCTAACAACAACAATAATAAATGATTATTTATTATTATTATTATTTTAAAAATTAAGTTATTACTTTAATTAATTCACGGGTTACAATAAAAACTCGACTTGTCCCTTAGTTTCTAAAGACAAATATGAATTAAATTTGTGTAGACTCATTACAAAAATTATTCATAAAATATGAATAATATTAATATATAATATTAATTAATAAAAGTATTATTTAAAAGTATTATTATTATTTTAAATGATTTGTATTTTTTTATTTTCATTTAAAACAACAACAATAATACATTATCTATTATTATCATTATTATTTATTATTAAAAATATTCAATATCAGGGCATCTCGAAAAAGTACAAAATGGGATTGTAGGAAATCACACTGTACATTTTAGTTCTTAAACTAAAAGCAAAATGAAAATAATGCTCTTTTTATTAACACTCAACCTTACAGATTATTTCAAAGCAGCTTCACATTAATAAACAGGAAAATAAGTGCTCATGTTTTAAAATTCATCAGTTATGAAACTAGTTAGTGTCATTATCCACTTTCATGATCCCATTCAGAAATAATACTAAATAAAATAAAAATTAAATGAATTTCTAAATTTTTTAAATTAATTTTTCGAAATTTTTCATTTCTAGCTCTTGTTTACCATTTTTAATGCAATGTTATTTCAGTATAATTTATTAATATTTTGAATTAGCTTTTATTTTCAGTTTTCATTTAAATCTTAGTTAAAGTTTTTGTAATTTTATTATGTACTTTTGTCATTTTTATTAGTTTAAGTTTTTTTAAAATATTTATATATATATATAGATAGATTTAATTTTTTTTTTTTTTCAGTTGTATTCATTTTAGTACTTCAGTGTAAACTTATTTATGGTTAATTTCTAATTTTCCTAGACATTTCTGACATAAATATTGTTATCTATCTAATATTAAAAAATTTATTTTATTTCAGCTTTATATTTCAATTTTTAAGCGTTTTACTTAACAATAACAACACTGTTTCAAGGACCATAATTTATCTTGAAATGTGTGTAATGCTATAAATACTTAAGAAAGTGTCCATGAAAAGTACAATAATCGAATATTAAATCATCAAGTGTCATTATTCAGCTCAATTCGATTTAATGTTGATTCAATTCAGTTCAATAACAGTATCGATGTTGCAATGTGAGTGTCTTTATTCAGCTCAAATGTTGTTCTCAGTGCATTAAATCAATAATATTACTGAATATTAATAGTCTTTTACAGCACATTTGAGATGATTTATCGGTGGTTTAGCATAATTTCCCTCATTAGGCGTCACCTGTTTTCCTCAGAATTCACACAAGCACTCATTCGCAGGTAAACAATCTCACCGCTCTAATCAAAGAGTTACGGCCAATTACACAGTTAATGAGAGCCTCCGAAGAAAATGAAAATAAAGCCAAGCTAAAGTTAGACGGGAAAAGAGGGTATGATATTAACAGTCTGAATGAATGTAATGAGAAGCTAATTAATTCACAGCAGACTCCTGAACTGCTAACGAGCCGCTGCTTTTCCTCAATGTTTATCTGAAAACTGCTGATCTGGCTTCAGATGTGGTCACGTGCAAAATTACTTTCATAATGATTTTAACTTGCTCACTGCGGGTTTATGGACAAATATATTAAGCTGTAATTGTCTTTTAATTAAAGTGCTAAATGAGGACCTTTCAGAACTTATATTATTACTGCAGTGATTTTCTGTAAAGCTGATTTAAAACAATGTCCACTGAGAAAAGTGCTGTATAAATAAAATATTACACTATTATAATATTTTATAAATATTATAAAACACTAAAATATTATATATTAGTATTAATAATAATTATAAAAATTTATTTATAATTTATTAAAATATAATTTTAATTTAAGTATAAATTCAAACAGTTAATTTCTAGATACTGCAGTGATTTTCTGTAAAGCTGATTTAAAACAATGTCCACTGAGAAAAGTGCTGTATAAATAAAATATTACACTATTATAATATTTAATAAATATTATAAAACGATTTTAAAAACACTAAAATATTATATATTAGTAGTAATAATAATTATGCAAATGTATTTATAATTTATTAAAATTTAATTAAATATTCAAACTGTTAATTTCTAGATCCTAATCAAAGAGTTACGGCCAATTACACAGTTAATGAGAGCCTCCGAAGAAAATGAAAATTAAGCCAAGCTAAAGTTAGACGGGAAGAGAGGGTATGATATTAACAGTCTGAATGAATGTAATGAGAGGCTAATTAAATCAATTCGCTAACGAGCCGCTGCTTTTCCTCAATGTTTATCTGAAAACTGCTGATCTGGCTTCGGATGTGGTCACGTGCAAAATGACTTTCATAATGATTTTAACTTGCTCACTGGGGGTTTATGGACAAATATATTAAGCTGTAATTGTCTTTTAATTAAAGTGCTAAATGAGGACCTTTCAGAACTTATATTATTACTGCAGTGATTTTCTGTAAAGCTGATTTAAAACAATGTCCACTGAGAAAAGTGCTGTATAAATAAAATATTACACTATTATAATATTTTATAAATATTATAAAACACTAAAATATTATATATTAGTATTAATAATAATTATAAAAATTTATTTATAATTTATTAAAATATAATTTTAATTTAAGTATAAATTCAAACAGTTAATTTCTAGATATTTTTGACAAATGTCAGGGCAGTGTTACTTTAGTATTATTTATATACTATTATATTATTTATCAATATTTTGAACTAGCTTTTATTTTTATATTTTCACTTTCATTTTAATTTTAGGTCACATTTTAATAATTTTGTTATGTGCTGTTCTAGTTTTTCTATTTTTGTTTATTTCTATTTAGATTTAATTTATATTTACAGTTTTATTTATTTTTTAGTAATTTTATCATTTCAAATTTATTTTAGTTGCCAATGCAACATTTCTAATTTTTAAGTTTTACATCTTTTACGTAATATTTCGGGGGGTGGGGGGGTTTATTTCAATTTAGATTTAATTTATATTTACAGTTTTTATTTTAGTTGCCAATGCAACATTTCTAATTTTTGTTTAAGTTTTACATTTTTCATCTAATATTTATATTTTTGTTTATTTCAGCATTATTTCAATTAACAATGTGTGTACTCAACAAAATCTGTGAAATGCTATAAAATATCTAAGAAAAAAATCTAGAAAAAGTACAATAACACCAGATCTTGAATATTAAATCAGCTCCAATTCATAAATAATTATAAATTCAAACTCTTAATTTCCAGCTCTTGTTTACAATTAAGTATTATTTATATACTATTACAGCATTTGTTAATATTTTGAATGAGCGTTTATTTATATTTATTTCTATATTTTCAGTTTTCATTTTAGCTCGTTTTAGTCATTTTAATGTCCTTTTGACATTTTTATTGCTTAAAGCTTTTCTTAATTATTTCTTATTTCAGTGTTATTAATTGTATTACTTCAGCTTAAACTTATTTCAGTCCATTTCTAATTTTCACAGAAATTTCTGACTGAAAGTTTAAGTTTTTCATCTAATATTTATATTGGAGTTTATTTCAGATTTATTTCAGTCAACAATAACAAGGATCTTATTTTATACTAAAATCTGTGTTTATAAAATATAATATTAATCCTAGGAAAAGTACAGTAACCGCGTCTTTATGTTAAATCATATTTAATATCAAAACAGCTCCTGTTGATAAATAATTATTAATACAAACTCTACATTATTTTAGTTGCCAATGCAACATTTCTAATTTTTAAGTTTTACATCTTTTATGTCATATTTCGGGGGGTGGGGGGGTTTATTTCAATTTAGATTGAATTTATATTTACAGTTTTATTTTTAGTAATTTCATCTAATATTTATATTTTTGTTTATTTCAGCATTATTTCAATTAACAAAGTGTGTACTCAACAAAATCTGTGAAATGCTATAAAATATCTAGGGAAAAAATCTAGAAAAAGTACAATAACACCAGATCTTGAATATTAAATCAGCTCCAGTTCATAAATAATTATAAATTCAAACTCTTAATTTCCAGCTCTTTTATTACTTCAGCTTAAACTTATTTCAGTCCATTTCTAATTTTCACAGAAATTTCTGACTGAATGTTTAAGTTTTTCATCTAATATTTATATTTGAGTTTATTTCAGCTTTATTTCAGTCAACAATAACAAGGATCTTATTTTATATTAAAATCTGTGTTTATAAAATATAATATTAAGCCTAGGAAAAGTACAGTAACCGCATCTTTATGTTAAATCATATTTAATATTAAAACAGCTCCTGTTGATAAATAATTATTAATACAAACTCTACACTATATATAGTATATACAAATATATATATATATATATATATACATAATACAGAAATAACACTGCCTTAAAAATTGTAAACGAGCTAGAGTTTGTATTAATAATTATTTATGAACAGGAGCTGATTTGATATTAAATATGATTTAACATATTAAAGATGCGGTTACTGCACTTTTCCTAGGCTTAATATTATATTTTCAGTATACTAGTATTTATTAATATTTAGCATTAGCTTTTATTTTTATATTTTCCGTTTTCATTTACATTTTAGTTTAAGTATTAGCAATTTATGTGCTTTAGTCCTTTTTAATATTTTTTAAAGATTTTTTAAAAATACTTCTATATAGACTTTATCTACTGTAATATCAGTTTTATTAATTTTAGTACTTCAGTTTAAACTTATTTCAGTTCATTTCATTCAAATTTTCTTAGAAACGTTTACCTTAAAGTTACTCACCTAATATTTATATTTCATTTTAATTTCAGCTATAATAATAATAATAGCCTAATAATAAAAATGATTTTTGAATGAAAAAAAAATTATTAATAGGGGTCGTATACTAAACTTATTGCAGTATTCCACTGTATTGCATAGATAGGTATAACATTTGAGTACTGAATAAGCCAAATTCAAGTCTTCATGATCTCACACACACAACCTGTTTACTGTACAAACAATAATTAAATATTAAATCAGTCCAGTTCATTACGGCATGATTTCCGGCCCGTTTGGATCTCACCTGTGACCTCCAGGTTGACCGTATCCTGCTCATAATGTTCTCCAAAGGCGACGTGGCATCGGAAAGTCCCGGAATCATTGGAGCGGAGCTGGGAAAGCGCCAGTGATGCGTTGAGTGGGTTGGCGGAGTATCCGGGCAGACTGACCCGACCCGCGTACGCCTGGTGCACCCTGACCACCCCGTCCCGGGCCGACAGCACCGTCCTCTCCTGCGCTCCGGAGCCGCGGCTCCAGTGGATGAAGGGGCCGTGTCCCGGGACCAGGGCGGCCTGCAGGGTGAACACACACGGGAGCAGAGCGGAGTCGGCTAAAGGACGCCGCAGCGGAGGATGGGTCACTCTCCGGACCGTCGCCGGAGTCTCGGCTCGAGTCACACCTGACAGAGAAGAGAGAGAAATGAACAGAATCAGGTTTAACCTGTTAACTGTCGATTCCACTTTTTGAGCGTAGACCAGATTTCCAACTTAAACTGTTATCCATTTTGAATGCTTTGGACCACAGACTTAAGATTGGTCTCTTTTAAAAGAAGACACTTGGCAGATTATTGCAGAAGTGAAAAAAGTTATAAAGATTATATAACAAGTTTAAGTTTATGAAATTATAAAATGTAATAATTTAAATATTTATATAAAATATATATTTTACGAAACATGTTTTACTGTAAAACTGCTAGAAAATCAAAATCAAAATTCTGAACGCGTTATGTTCCAAATTTGAGGTTGATATCTCAAAAAAGGAGCTTTCGGTGAGATTTTGTTTGGACGTAGTACCAAGCTTTTCCACTAGATGACCATCAAACCCCATTAGTAACCATTTAACTCTTTCCCCGCCAGCATTCTTTGAGAAAGGTTCCCAGCCACCGCCAGCGATTTTGATGATTTTCACTCAAATTTGATGACCTCCAGTATATTTTGCTGTATTAATATTTGAATATGCAATACACCAAAATAAAGATCAGCGAGAGTTTTATTCTAGCTTAAAACAATCTTTTTTATCAACACTTGAATATAGGTGGCTTTCATAAAAATTTATAATTCTGAGCAAAAAGGTGAGAAAATCAAATGTTTATCAAAAACTACATCTGGATAATATTCAGTACGAATATCAAAGCATAAATCCAGTAAATTGCTTCCATCAACACCTCCAAATCTTGCAGACATCACTTCCTGGATCAACATTTTACTCCGTAACATTATGCAGTTTTCATTTATATGCTGTCTATTATCGCATTATTTTTCATATGCATCTGTTTACATAAGAGATCGCTAGTTTCTCCGTTCTGTGCACGTGTGTTTTTGTTCGGGAGGTTTTGTACTCGTTCAGAAGATGCATACTAGCGCCCCAGAGTGTGTAACAGTGAAGACATGGAAAGCCGTAAAAACTCGTCTTAGTGTTTTCTTGTAAAAGACGAGATAACTCATCAATGGCGGGGAAAGAGTTAAAGGCGCCTTCATTTCCATATATGGTTTGAGTGATCTGAAACATGTTTTTCCATACTTTTCTCAATATATATGAAGTAGACATGACAATCAGAAGTATTACGGCAGTATGGCAGTATTTGATTTCTCAAAAAAACACATAAAAGACATGCTATGAGAACCCTGGACTTGCGTTATAGTTCACAATGCATCAGAAATGGAGAATCTATTGTTTTTTTCTAGGGATGCACGATATATCGGCCACCATATCGGTATCGGCCGATAAATGCTAATTTTTTCTGTTATCGGTATCGGCCTGATAAGAAAATTTGGCCGATATCTTAAAGCCGATAAATAATGCATTATTTCCTTCAGAGACACTTCAGATGCGCGCTGTTCGTTTGCAGCCTTTTGTGCAATTGTACATTGTAATATTGTGTTTATTTGATGTATATCTGATGTATCTCATATAGAATGCGTTTGGTAAAGTTAAAAGAGCGCTTCAGTTTACCAGTGATCATCTTTAGCTCAGCACACGCAGCTCAAACAGCAGTGCACAACATTAATAACTATGATTGGGAATGT